TGAACCTGGAAAAATTGGCTGGAGCTCCATTTCATAGGCTGTTGTGGATTGTGGGCCCCCAAGTGCCTCGAAGCGGGGCCCTGATGTGAGCAGCCCTGTGTTTGAGAGAGAGCACCGCTCACCCGTTAGAAACATTGAGGAGACGGCATGTTTGGCAAAGTGCAGCACGAACCTGAAATCTGGTGCCCTCTTTAATGGAATAATTTCTTCCCTTTTTTGATTTCAAGAAATTGTGAAGCCCCGGGCTTGTGAGCTGCCTTCTGAAGCAGTGTTAAGTGACAATTAAGGACAGGGGGTGTAGCTCAGCAGTAGAGTACTTGCCCAGCTTGAAAAAAATAATAAGAATGATTGAAAGGTGGTAGGAATATTTATTTGCAGCAGATAGAATTCAATTAGACAATGTTTAAACTTCCTTAATTGTATTTTACTAATTTCAATTATTTTAGGTCATCAGAAAACAGAAGTCTTTAGAGGAAGCTCATTTCTTTTCCTTCAAAAATATTAGTAGGTGAACCCTGGGAGTCAAATGAGGATGACTTATTCATTAGAATCTTTCATTTGTATGTCAGCTGGAGCAAATGCAGGCTAGGAGTGGGAGCAAGCAGATAGCTAATTTGCAATCTTGATGATCCAATGGGAAAAAAACTTTGGGGGCTGGAAGCTTTTCGTGGAAACAGAATTTGTTCATAAGATGGGGCTGTCTTACAGCCGTTGCCAGCAATCTGCTCAGCTGCATAACACGACCTCAGCCAGGTAGCAGCCCTGCCCTGCAGATTCTCCCATATTCTGCTTGGATCCACCTCCCTAAGTATTGGTGAAGGGACCAGCAAGGGGAGAGCATGTGTCCAAGGCTTAAAAAATAGGAGTGCGGGCTGGGGTTGTGGCTCAGCAGTAGAGCGCTTGCCTAGCACCGGCGGGACCCGGTTCGATCCTCAGCACCACATAAAAATAAAGGCATTGTGTTGTGTCCATCTACACCTAAAAAATAAATATTAAAAAAAAAAATTGGAGTGGATGTGGAAAAAGTCAGATAGCAGGCCCCAAAGTCAGATAGCAGTGACTTAGTAATTATTATAGAGACAGTATTCCCTTGTACACCTAGGTTTTCAGGGCCTTCTCTCCTCTGGGGGAGGAAATATTAATTTTTTTATGAGTCTGACTTTATACATTTCATAGCTTGTACTCACAGACTAAAGGATCCGGCTGAGAGGGTTGTGAAAAATGTGGGTAGGCCCCCTATAAATTTGGTGGGTTGGGCAGAATACAAACTTTAATAATTTCACACCACCTAAAATGGATTGATATATTTTGTGATTTTTACATATTCCTGACAATCTTTTTTTTTCCCCCCTGCTAATTTTTTAAAAATCTGTTTTCTCATTGGAGCTAGAATTGTGCAGGAGAAAATGAAATTCTGGTAAGCTGAAGAGAGTCATTGGGGGACCAGGCTTTGGGATAGGGAAGCATCTGGAAGTGTTGCTCATTGGATTCCTTTTGCATGTGTGACCTGCCTGGTTACCTGCTGTTGGGAGAAGGAAAACACGATTTATGTCCATGTGTAATGGCCACAACCACCAGATAGAGGCTTAGCTACCTTTCTCCTCTTTTTAAAGATAAGGAAGTGAGGCTTTAAGATATTTGATATTTCTGAGATCATACACTTAGTGAAGTCAGCCAGGAAGCCTCGTGGCCCATTTCCACATTTCCATAGTCTTACAAGACAGTCTTTTTTTTTTTTTTTTTTGGATGGTGCTAGGGATTAAACCCAGGTCCTAGGTGAATGCTTTACCACTAAGCTACACCCCCAGCTCAAGGATTTTTTTTTTTTTTTTTTGTAGATAATTTCCCTCCACCTTGGTACCTGGAAAATTCCTACCCCTTGACTCAACTCATTTGTCTTGATTCTTTTCATCTTGCTTAGGTTTGAGCATCCCATGATATTTGATTGCTTCCAACTTCAGTCTGAAATAGCGCCTCAGTTGAGCAACTTCTGTATCCAGGACACTTGGTTTAGGCACGTGGAACATGGTGGTTCTTGCCTTTGGGGAGTTTACGTTGTGAAAGGAATTTGCAGCCCACGTGGACCCTGTGCCAAGTTCCCATGGGAAGGCCAGGGCTCACGGAAGCTCACGGGACTGGGTCTGTGCTTCCTGGAAAAGCACAAGCAGGGGCTGAGGTCCCAGCCGGAGAGGGCAGGTTGGTTTGCAGTTCAGGGTGTAATTTGGTGTTGAAGATGATGTACTAGAAGATGATAGGGTTGGAGGTTTACGTGGGGCCAGGGTGGGGTAGGGCAGAAGTCCACCTTTCCTTCTGTAAGTGGTAGGGAGTCCTTTGTTTTTGAGCAGAGAAGTGACAGGTTGGCCTGCTGAGACCTTGGCCACATCCTCAAAAGGGAGAGTGGGGTTTTTGCATCTGTGCTTTGATGGCCACCGTGTCCCCTTCACTCCCTGCTTTTGGCCTGAGGCAGAGAGTGCATCCCAGGGCAGCTGGTACAGGATGAACCGAGTGGCCATGCTCAGGATCTCTGAACTGCCTAGAGCCACTTCCCTGATTTGCACACAAGAAAGCTTTATTTCTTTATAGCCACAAACATGTTGAAAAGCTGAATCACATCCTCTGGCTTAATATTTGACTTCATAGCTCCAATTCTAGGTGAGCCACCTTTGAAACAGATGATGTCCTATGGTAGGAAAGGTGTGGCCTGGCAGCTGGATGCCCAGGTTCCAGTTTGCCCCCCCCCCCCATTGGCCTGGGGGAGATTCCTTTTGGGGAGCTCATTTACTTAAATGATGTAGGGAGTTTACAATGTTGGTGAAGGGGCTTGTGTATAATACAGTGGCCTTCCTGAAGGTACGCCTCAAAGCTTTCTTGCACGTCCATGTCCTGAGATGTGTGGTGTTGAGTAGAGTTGCTGGTCCTTTAGGATGACAGGCCCAGAGCACTGTGGACTTGCCTGTGGCCCCCCATGTGTTATAGCAGCAGCACTTGAGCTCATCTCCTGACTTTCCTTCCCTGGTCCAGTTTTGGAGTCATGCTGAAATTTTGGATGCTGGGGTTTCTGCCTCCGTCCACAACTGGAGAAGGGTCCTTTCATCTGACCTAACTGGGACAAGAGCAAGTCTGGATGTATAGCTTTTACTGATAATTCCCCCCAGATCATTTTGATCCTCCCTAGCCAGCACTCCTTCCTTTAAAAACCTGCAAAGTAGTAGTAAATCCCCTTCCACTGCTCTCCTTTGCTCTCTTTAGCCCTCTGGTAAAGCTGGAAGTGCCTAAAAGAGAGGCAACTGGAGCCAGCGCCGACCTAATCCACACACTCTGGACGTCATCCCTGGTGACTCAGATTCAGTTGCATTTGTCATTTCACAACCACCTGCATCTGATCCTGCTCTGCGGGGAAGCTGCCTGGCGCCTGGTACTAGGAGCACAGTGCTCTTCCCAGGGAAGGCTTTTATGAGCTCTGGCCATGGGGTCCATTGCTGAAGGATGCCATCCCTGCCTGCTGCCCATTCTCTAGTCATTTTTATGAAATAAATAAGTGCCATCATACACCAGTCACGCTGAACACTTTCTGTGCATTTTCTCTGCAGCGTTCACCACAACCCTATCAAGTTGGTATGATCTTTGTCATTTTGCAGATATGGAACGTAGGCTTTGGGGAGATTGTACTAATCATTCCATGTACTCTGAAGGTATAGAAGACACCTTAACCCTCACTTTCTGTACTTCATCTCATTTAATATTTGCCTCTACTTTATGATGTCATTGTTATTTCCATATTACAGATGAGGAAGCTGGGACTTAGTGTACTTAACTAGCCCAAGGTCACTTCAGCCAGTGATTCGAAATTCAAATCCAGGCTAGTGTACTCCAGTACATGTGTACTCTTAATTTCTGCTCTTCTGCATATGTTTATTAAGCAAAAATTTTTCTTCTTGGGGGCTGTCAAAGCTGATGGCTTTTGTTGGTTGTGTTTTCTACTGCTTTTTCCATTGTTAAAGGGAGTTGGGAGAAGGCAGGTAATGATTATTTAGCGCTAAGTATTAGGCACTTTTTTTTTTTTTTGCCTAAAATCTAGAAAAATCTTGTTGTTTTTATACTAGAGTGTAAGCTCCATGTAGTCTTTTTGTTCTTTTTAAACATTTGTATTCACTGATGCATCCCTACCACCTACCATAGTGCCTGGTACATGCTGGCTCACTGAGGGAATGAATGAGGCAGAGGGGTTATTTAACCTGGTTGGCAGGTGGAGACCTTGAGATGGAATGGTTGGGTGACTCAGCAGGCACACATCATGGGTGAAAACAACTTCTGCCCATCCTCTCTCAGGTCTTTTTTCTGAACAGATCTTTTTTTACACATGTAAAATGGATGCAATCAGATCTATGTTGTGGGATTATACGGCATGATGTAAAACTATATATAAATACTCAGCATCAGGCATAGCGCCGATGTCAGTAAGCAGTCTTGTATTTGTCATGATTAGAGCCATTCATTGTCATGCGCCTTCATTTCAGGCAGAATTGTTCCACAGATTAGTAAAGGTAGAAATTTGCTAGCCACAGAAACTTTTTTCTTTTCATTTTCTTTAATTTTTTAATTTGTTTTAATTAGTTACACATGAAAGTACAATGATCTTGACATATCATCCATTTGAATCAGATCCACAGAAACTTTTAAAAGCAGATTCAAATAATTGAATGTTCCTATCTTTGCTTTACTCTTAGGTAATACAAACAGTAATACAAATAGTCAGATTGGAAAAATCAGTTCAGATCTACCCGGGGATGCTGGTTAGGACTGGCAAGATTTGATTAAGCTACGTTTGCATCTTTGTTTATAATCACAGAGGCTTGAGCTGGGAAGGGCCCTAGGGTCCATGGTTCATTTACTTTCCTTACCCTCCCTTGATTGACAGGTGAGGAAGATGAGGCCTGCATGGGGAGGGGGGTGGGCAGAGCGGGGTGTGGAGTGAGTGGTGTACTTGGGTGGTGGATTACCTTAGATGTCTGCATCCTGCCAGCCAGGAGCCTGAGGTCTTGTCCTCAGGGGCCTCGTGTAAACACTTGTGTGGTGGAGACACAGTTATCCTCCTGTTAGGGTGTTAGTGAGCAGATTATATCATTATTACCACAAGCCGGCAAATCAGAATCACTCCCGTGTAAACGTTCCCACTATAGAATGTCCGCATTCACTGTAGATAATAGGAAGGCCTATGAAGAAAATCAAAATGACCTGTCATCCCGTTACTCAGAGATCACCAAGGAAATAGTCCTAAGGATCAAAACTTTTTTTCCCCATTAGATATTTTATTACTTTGTTGCACCTATGACATTCACTGAGGAAAAATTTAAATGAACTAAAAGGAAAAGAAAGTAGAATTATTTACTCTCACAGGTCCCAGATCACCATCGTTTATGCTTTACTGTATATCTTCTTCTATCTGGTATGGACAATTAAAAAAAATTTTTTTTACACATGCCTTTAAAATTACATCTGTCTTTTCAAAATTTAATATAATATGACAGGTCTTTTCTGGTGTATTCAAATATTCTTTGACATAAAAACCACATTGTCATTTGGCATAATTGGGGGGGGGGTGGTCATGAGCTAATGTTTTAATTATTTGACATCCCTTGGGCACTCATTGAGAGAGGGGAGAAAAGATTTTCCTAGGTTAAATGAAACCAATCTAGGATTAAATTATGACTGTAGAGTTAATCAGCAATTTATTTATTTATCGAGGAACCAGGAATTAAACCCAGGGGCATTTTGCCATTTAGATACATCCCTGTACCTTCTTGCTTTTTTATTTTGAGACAGAGTCTTGCTAAATTGCTGAGACTAGCCTCTAATTTGTAATCCTTGCCTCAGTCTCCCAAAATGCTGGAATTACTGGTATACATCACCCATTCAGCTAGAAATTGATCTACTTTACAGAAGAAAATACTGAACTAACTAAATGTGTTTGTATTTTGGATAGCATATGATCTTTCATGGTACAAGTGAGATTCAACAGTGAATAATGGGACTGAGGATATAGTTTAGTGGTAGAGAACTTGCCTGTCATGAAGGAGACCCTTGGGTTCAATCCTCAGCAAAGCAATAAATAAGTAGATTATTTAAAAAGCAAAACAATGCAGAACAAATTGAGCAGTTAAAAAAAAAAGTTCTAAAGGTTCACACTTGGGGCTGGGGATGTAATGAGGTCCTGGGTTTGACCTCTAGCCTTGCATAAATAAATAAACAAATAAATAAATAAATACAGGGTCAGACTCTCTTGAGAAGTCTTTCATTTTACCTAAGGCACTATGTTGTGGATATTCCATATGGTGCAACATATTCCTTATTTCTGGTTTTTATTTTAGTGGTATATTTTGCTGTAATCAATGTCATGCTATTTAGATATCCTAGAGTACTTATTCTCAAACCTTTCCAAATATAAGAGTCTCTTTTAATGTTCAAAATAAAAAGTCCAGATCAAACAATTTTAATTATATGTTTAGGATCTGTTGGGGAGCTATAACAACAAAAAACTCTTAATAACATTTTAGTGGAATTTATCTTTTATTAACTATAGCAGTGTTCTCAGACACTTGCAAGATAATAATACATATATGTGTAAATTTACTTGGTTCTTAGATGCTTGGGAATACCTTGAAATAATTCCCTGGAGGGCTCTGTCCTAGAGGAAGACTGGTCCTACATGTGAATAACTAAGGTCTAATGTCAGGGAAATGATGATTAGATTAGTTACTAGCTGCAAGTAGAAGTTACTGACTCCAGGAATGACTAGAGTCAGAGAGGAGCTGAAGGCCACTGTATACCACAAGCTAGGAAGAGGCATTTTGTTCCCACCTGCTCATAGATGGAACAGTTCCCAGTGTAGCCCCAACACCACCTCTGTTTCAGAAGAAAGCATGGACTTGGAGAAGTGAACTGAATCAGCCAGACTGTCAGAAACATTTCAGCAGGGCCCTGCACATACTCCCCTTGGCCCTTTTAATTATTCACCATGACCTCTTAGAGAGGGCTGCATTTGTTAGCTCCAAGTCCAACCTTGATTACAGTTAATGAAATGATGTCCTTTGTGCCTTGGTTTTTCCATCTCAAAAATGGACAGAATATATTTCTTGTATCATATTCTTGCAAGGTGACATAATGATGCCTCTAGGTAGTATTTCCTTTCTTTCTAATCAGCAAACAGAAAAACCATAATGAAGATAGAAGTTATTGTCCTTTCCATAAAAGTATCATAAATCTAGAGAATTTCTAGGCATCTTGAAAAATTACTTTAAGGCAGGACAGCAACTTAAAGACCATCTGGCCAATTGAACCTTTCTCAGAAAACTTCTCTTCATTCTCTTATGGTTGTCTGTTCCTCTTATTAAAATGAGGTGCTGGACAGATAGTTATGGTTACTTACCAGGGATACTTCTTTCTGCATTCTTGGTTTCTCACAACAGCTTCCTTGCGCTGCTTAACTGCCCAGGATGCTGGTGGGGGAGGAGCTGACTCATTGCTGATGTTTCTGTGTTGTTGTCTCCAGGAAAAGCATCTCCAAGTCCTACCTTTTTCTGAGCTCTTGCTAGGAGCAGGTATTTTGTTTACTATTTTAGTTACTATCTGTATATTTTCCAAAAACATTTAATTTGCCTTTCTTTGAAATTTTTATAGCTTTTTCAAGTTGCTCTAGGGAATCATCAGCAGTTTCTTAGCAAAGCAAGGTAGACAGTATTTATCAGCTGATCTTGGGAAAGAATAGAGTTTGGGAAGCCAGTACCACTTTTAAAAGATCATTTTGTTTATATATTTTTGCAAATGCTAAACATAGGCAGGGAGAATTGCTTTAATGAAGAAGTAGACCTGGTGGGAGGGGTGACAGGTGTCTAGAGGGCCAGCCAGTCTCAGTTAAAGGGCTCTGGCCATCTGTACAGTGGGACCAGTAACCCTTCATCTTTGTACTGTGGGTGAGCTTCACACCCAGATACCTTCTTGAATAGAAAAAAAGAGGTGATTTGTAGGGGAGTAGTGCCCAAAGTCATGAATAACAGTCCTAAACACATCTAAACCCATAAAGAGTGCATAGATATCTATTAAGAACGGACTGAATTCTGGACATGATGCTTTCAAGGGTTCTGTATTACTAGGTGACTTTTAAAAGGTTGTTCTTAATCAAACTTGTGTTGCCCTTAGAATTTTGTTTAAAAAGTCTGCATCAGTTCACATCCTCCTTCAAGAGGGGACAGTGAAACAGAAACCTGAGGGGGAAAGATAAAGCCTCGGCACCTGGCCTCCTCCTTTCACTTCCTTTCCCAGCTCTGCCCCTTTGAGATGTTCTTCCAGAAGATGGAGGAAGCTGCTGCACTTGGGGTCATCACCCTGGATCTGGGGACAGGAGTGGCTCAGCACTGGGAGTTCCTTCCCCAAAGCCCAGAGCTGACTCGTCACATTTAGCCACCGTCAGGAGGTGGGCAGTCATGTCCCAGGGCCTGCGAGGAACTGGCAGGAGCTGCAAGGGGAGAAGAGAGTAGGGCTCCAGCTGATGCCTCCTCCCTGCCCCCTGGGGTGCAGTGTGGAGGGGGGCAAGGATAGGGAGTTGAAATCCTGGAAGGTCACCTGGAGGGGCTGTTAACTGCCATCGTCTCTGTACAGACCAAGGCATGGTTCAGAAACTGGCTGATGGCATTTTCTCATCAGATTTTGGCATTCAGGGGGTGCATCTGATAAATTCATGGTTGCTAGTGTGAATATAATATGTATGTTTTGGGATGCCTGATATATGAGCAAAACTAAGAAGCCAAATGTTAAGAGAGTTGTTGGTTTACTGAAACTAGCTTAACTGGCCCAGCTGTTGGAGTCATTTGTTCAAACCACTGCAGGTAGTAATTTCTGTTTGTTGTACTAAAGAAATGACTTGGAAAGGTGCAGTATTAGATGAAGGCACGGAAGGCTCCGCATTGTGCTCTCCTGCCCGGGGCGTTGGAAGGAAAGGATGGGTGATGGGAGTCTCTGCCCTGGCCTGGCTCCTCCTCTTCCTCTCCTCTAGAGCTGTAGCCTCAGCAATCCGAGTAGCTGCCTGGTGCAAGGCCGAGGGGCTGGATTTTTCAGTATTTCTCAGTAGTTTTCAGTGTCATCAGTCATCACTTCCAGAATTCCTTTTCGCTTTCAAGGGTACCTAGTCTAAGCGTTTAGCTCTGTTTCAATGGCTCTCCTCACTCTCTTATGCCCGGGCAGGAAGATTAATAATGTTAACTGATTTACTGTCGCTGCAAAAAAGCATTAGTTAATTAGACTTTTACACCTCAGTCAGATGGCATTAGACACCCTTTGTGCACTCTAACTCAAGGATGTTAAAGACCTAAATCTTTGAGGGGGGAAAAGGAAAGAAAGAAAGAAAGAAAAAGGACAGGCACTTTTCCAGTTTAAGCTGCATGTTGGTCCATGTTAATTAGGCCTTTGTGCCTTAGTCTGGAGGTGATAGAAAATGCCAGTTACTGTGGTCTTTAACTGACATCAAACTCCTGTCCAAATAATTCAGTTGGGCCCAGCCTTCTTTCTTAATTGGTGGGAAGGAAAACTTCGGCACACACCCAAACTAAGGAGGAAACTGTTACTTTCGTTGGACATTTAAAAATTTCATTCTGAAGGATCTGAGGAGCACGTGTATATTTTTTAAATTAACTACCCATTTGGGATTTTTAAAAACAGTAACAACCAAAATCTCCCCTAAGCCTTGAACTACTCAAAATTGATTAGTTTTTTTAAGTTTTCAGTAAAAAACTTTAGTTATTGCTGTTATCCAAGGTCGAAAAGTAGTTATTGCTATATCCAAGGCCCATATAAAGTATCTCTTGAGCACTGTTTTTTTTTTTTTTAAGAGTTCTAGAAATTGTCATTTAATTTTCTAGGTTACAGTCAGATTTCTTTATCAATACTAGAAATTCATATGTGGATTAAAGTGCCAAGCAACATATATTTTTAAAACCAGTATATGGTGGCATATTAAAAGAAAAATGACACGATGGTTTGGCAGGAGTAATTAGAGGAAAAAGTTTTTTAAAGCAACTTCTTCCTAGTTTTTGGAGAAGGTAATCCTCAGTGACAAGAGTGTAGCTTACCTTATTCATGAGGCATCTAAAACAATTCCAAAAGTAATAAAAGACTTTTTTCTAACTCAGGGTAGCCTTACTTGACTTAAACCTCACTTTGTATGAGTTTCTAGCCAAAGGTTCACACATGGGAGAGCTCTTCATTTTTAGTACTGAACTACTTTTTGGTGCATTGGATGAATGTAATATGTTAGCACTGCTGTAGGGCCCAGAATTGCTTGGCTGCCCCTTGCCCTGCCTGCCTGGTACTGGCTGAAAAGGTACCATTGTTTGTTCTGCAAACACTGGGTGATGTTTGTTTCCAAGGTGACTGATTCTATTGCTACTCTTTAAGCAAGGGGGGGATGGGGGAGAGAGAAAGTTGGCTTTAAACACCTTGAGAGCATCCTGTTCTGGATACAGTCTGTGTATGTGTATATGAGTACGTTGAAATTTTATTTTAACTAAGGTTATTGGAGAAAAAGGGATAGTATAGAAGTGGGAGGAAAAACAATATTGGGAAGTCCTGATATTGAATTCAATATATTTACAGTGAGTTTAATAGTAAGATGTTAGAATTAAAAATCTGATTAGACCGAGGTTAACTGTTTTTACATTTGGAAAACTAAAGGGAGGAATAGTATTTAGATGATAACCATTGAAATGTTAAGTTTATTTTTTCATGGAATAGTTCTTCAGCTGTAACCTACATATAGCTATTAAGATGAATGCTTTAGAGTATAAAGTCAGTTATTGATTAGGTAAATAGTCTTCAAAAAAGTATGAGAAAACATGAAATATAAATACATTTTAGTTGTAAATTCTGTTAAAAAAAAACTTAAAAATTTGTGTCAAATTTCCAGAGATAACAAAATATACCAAAAGCATCTTTTCATGGTGATATATATTGACTTAATTCATTAAATTTTGGAAATGTGTATTTCACATCAGTGAGAAATTTTTGGTTCTAATTTAAAAAAAAAATTCCTTCTTGGCCCACCCCCCACCCCAGCTTTTTTTTTTTTTTAATAGTATATGGATGCTGTTAACAGAACTTTGCCTTTTCACTCCTATCAGGTTTAGTACAGTTCATGCGCAGGTTTCAGTAAACATTAACTACTTTTATCAGGGCTTGCAGTGTGCTGAATGGTTAGCAAAGAGTGTGTACTGCAAGAGACAGATGAAAATGAGAGAGTCCAAGGTCACATGGATGTTGATTTTTTTATTTTTTTAATTATTGAGAATTTAGGAGAAAGACATGAGTATCAACGCTTAGTAAATTGCCTCTCTTTGTTCGGGCTGCTTTGCCTCTGCTTTTGTGTATTGTTTAACCGATGAGTTCAGATGCTCCATCTGAGTGGCAACGCAAGAGATTTCAAGATGTTTTCTTCTTTTTCCTGTCATTAAGAGGGGGAAAAAAACCACTCTTCAGGGCATCCTTCTAGGATGAAAAGTGCTCAAGGCCCAATGAAAAAGTAATGTAACATTTATCATGGTGATACTGGAGATTCTTTTCAGTGTTACAGGGGTTTCCTTTTTTTTCCCCTTTCTCAAAGATAATTCGGGATTTCCTTGTGCTGGTCAGTTTGGTTTCCGCAGTTAGCACAGTAACTCATAAACCAAGTGCTATAATGAAATATTGCCAAATATAGAATAAGCATGCAAGTTTTGGGTATCGTGTAATATTACAAAACTTTTGCCTGTATCATTTTCGAAAATAGGAATGTGCTTATTTTTAGTGAAAAGGATATGCAACTTTTAGACATTATTGACAGTAAGAATTGTCTGCTTGCCTTTCCAGTCCAGCAGGTATGGAAGCACTGAAACTAAGCAGTGGGCCCTGGTCATGGTTTTCTTCTCTTTTCTCCCTGGCTGGCTGGTGGGTCTGGCTTGACTGTGGGAGCCAGCTCTAAAGCTGCTACACGGGAGTTTTCTGTAGGGTGGCTCCCCTGCTCGGAAGCACAGAGTTTAGGCTTCAGAAGTGCATTTAGCTCCTGTGCTCTCGGCCCAGTTGCTTGCCTGGTTGACCCAGCGCTCCGGGCCAGGGGCCTGTGGAAAGAGGGAGCAGGTCGGTGGCCTGGGGTTCCCGGGGAGGTACCAGAGGAAGACAGTCGGCGCCGAGCCGGGCCTCCCAGCCATTGTGCACCGAGAAGGCACTGAGCAGACGTGCGTTCGCACAGCTGCGGGAGCCGCGGTGTCCTGGCCCTCGAGGGTTTGTCCGTGCCCTCCCGGGCAGAGGTAGCAGACGGCCGATGGTGGACACTGCCCTGGGTCAGCGGGTTCTGCTGCAGCGGGACCTGCTCCACCGCCCGCCCCTTCTCAGCTCTCGCGAGTGGGCAGCTGGGCCGTCAGTCAGGGCGGCAGGCCCCGATTGGCTGGCTGATCGCCGGGGGCGGGGCGAGCCGGCCCTTGACGGCCTTCCCCCGCGCGGCGTCTCTGCCCCAGAGCTCGACGAAGCGCTCTGTTCCTCCAGAGAGGCGCACGGCACCCTGTGGCCGCTGGAGCTGCAGCCTAAGGACGACCAAGGGTTTTCAGGAGCTCGTTTAGCCACTGAACCTAAAAAAAAAAAAAAAAATCCCCTCAGGGAGAGATTAGAAGACGTGTGCGCCCTGAGCTAGTCCCCTTGTATTTTATTATTATTACTTTGCTAATTTGAGGACTTTCAGCTCTACCACTTTTCAGTTTTCGGAAGTTCTGCATAGGCATTGGCTTGCCCGCGCGTATTGTGTATTCACCCCCCAGAATAAGCCGGTTAGAACACTTGGCCTCCCTGCTGACTGTTTTGGAGTGGAAGCAGCATGAGGCTCAGAAGCGCCCAGCCAAGGCCTGTGTGACAGGAGGGTGATCGCCCTTGCTGCTGGAGAATGGCCCCAGCCATGTGGCCCAGCCTGGAAGGGGGACGTGTCTGCTTTCCAGAGAGAGAATGGGGGCAGAGGGCCAAAACAGCCGAACCAGCTGCAGGGCTGCTGGGTTTACATCTTCCCGAGGTGTCAGGCAGGCGCTGTCGCCCACCGTCCTGTGCTCAGAACCCTGTGCCTGTCTCCTGAAAGCGGAGCCCGCTTGACTTGTCTCACTGCTCTGTTTCAACTCTCTCCTTTTCCAGGATCAGTTTAATTATAAAAATGAGCCCATTCATCTGGGTCGTTTCTTGATGTTCTGTACTTGAAGTGCACCACCAGTGGGGGATACCGTCAGCACTGCTACTCGTGGTCAGAGGCCTCCTGGCTCTGCGGCTTCTTGTTAAGTGTGCCTTGCCTTACCCACAGACAGTCCATGAGGTCAGCCTTGACCACCTCCCGGCATGTGCTCTGTAAGTTGCCACCTCTGCAGTCATGTGACTCAGACCCACGCTGAAGCCAGGGTCACTGACTGCCCCCAGGGTCCCCCCACCCAACACACTCATTGCAGGGCACTGTTGCACCCCAGAACCATGTCAGTGACTTACAAGGCAGGGCCTGGCCTCTCTACTTTTAGAACTTGTCCCCTTTTGCTGTGCTGCCTTTGGTGATCAGTTTTCTCAAAACAGCAATCCTTTACCAGGGTGAAAGCTTTTCTACACTGCACAAGCCAGGGCCCACTCCAGGAGAGTCTGATCCATCTTGTCTGGGTAAAGGCTAGAAACAGGTAACCTGCCCATTTCTGTTGGAAACTTCTGATGAAACAAAAGAATATGTTTCAACCTCTAGAATTTTTTGGGAAAATACCGTTGAAAGGGTTAAGAAATGATAAATCGCCAAATTCTCCCATCTGATACTTACTTGCAAAGCTGTTCTCTATTAAATGAGGTATGGCGCTACCTGTGCTATGACCTTGATAGGCCCACGGCATTGGCAGATGTCAGTGCCACTAATTAATTTTTTAAGAAGTTGAAGCTCTTACAAAATTATCAAGGATGCTCAGTAGCTGGTACCAGATGTTTCTTTTGTTAAGGGAATGGAAAAGCAGTGTCACAGGTAATTGGGCTATGGATGTTTAATACCTTGATCTGCGGCTGTGGGTTTTGGGATGATTTTTAAGAAGGGTAAGGGAGAGTGCACATTCTGGTTTCTTATGTGCCCCCACCCACCCACCCACTCGGCCACTTGCAGTATTATCTTATGTGGAGGTGTTGACTCAATTATCATTAGACCCAGCTCCTGTTAGAAGAGAGTAAATGGTACTTGGGGCCTCTTTATCTGTACAGTTTTGCCACAGCTGAGGTGACAGCCTGTTCTAACTGAATTCAGTCCTTTTTTCCTCTTTCACTGTGGAACAACAGGAAAGTCAGCCGCTCATCATGTCGGGTACAGACTTTACAGCCTCTGAACAGCCTTTGCTTTTGCAGTTTATGAATGCACCATTTGTTGTTTAGAGCACAACTGTTACATACAACTGGCCTCTGCAGCCCACTCTGCCCAAGACCAGTGAACATCGCTGTGGCCTTTTTTTTTTTTTTTTTTTTGCATAGGCCAAATTTTTGCCTTAAATACCACCATTTTGTTCACACTAGAATTTCTTTGACCCAATTTACATTTTTCACATGTAAGTTTCAGAAATAAGCCTTTAATTTGTTCAAACTGTTGGGTTGGCAGTCCTGAATAAGTGTAAGTATTGAAAGAAGAGGTTGATTTTGTGCCTTAGTTATGTACATGTGCATAAAAAAAAAACTTACAAGGCAGGTGACATGTGACTATAGTTTTATTTTAAATTGGCTTGAAATTGTGAAGTTTTACTACTGTTTTCTAGGTCTTATATTTCTTTCTTTTTGACCTTACACATCATCTCTTTGTCATCAAGTATTCAGTTAAGAATTTAAGATTGATCTTAAATGTTCTCAAACAAAAAATGAGTGTATGATGTGATGTGTTAATTAGCTTGATGGAACTATTTCACAACACATTTGTACATCAGAACATCTTGTGTACACTGTAAACATGTACTTTTTTTGGTAGTCTAAGGATTGAGCCCAGGGCTTAGTGCTATACCACTGAGCTGCACTGCCAGCCTGACAAATTACTTGTCACCTATGCCATAATAAGAAAATTATTAATTGAAAAAATAATTTAAGTGAATCTGTCAAAAACTAAACTCTGTAATGTGGTATTCTGAAGTATTTGTAGACAACTTTATCCTTTTTCTTTTCTCCTGAACCAGGGTTTCCTCCAAAAGTGATACTATTAATGTTAGAATTCTTTTTTACTAATTTTTTTTCTCTTTCACATGTACATTTTTGGCCCTATGTAATGAATTATAATAGATATTGTGATCTGTTATCTCTGTGGGCACAATTCCTTC